TAATACCAGGCGCCGTACCTATTTGCGTCCAGATAATTTAAGAAATAAAAATACAGCCAGAGGACACAATAAGTGTAAGATCGCATTAAAAAACTGTTGGTCTGTACTTCTATCCGTAGTTTTTCTCAAGATTCAAAAACCCGAAGCAAAGCATTTTCAGCCTCCACAGCACATTGTTTTATCTTTGATAAGTTTTTTTCGCCGTCTTCACATAACTGCTTCAGTCGAAATGTGAGAAATTTTAACTTTTCATAATTTTTTTTTCATCAAACCGACTCTTAAATAATAGTTTACACAAGGTAATTTCCTCCGACTTGCCTGATGCAGTTCCCGTCTCTTCACACACAAATCAACACAGCAATATTCCAGTGTATTATACGCCTAAAATTATAAATTAAGTCGCATCCTCCATCAGTGGTTATGCTTATACAGAAACTACAAGGAGGTCTATCAAAAGCATTTCACACATTTAAACCTTGAAGCTACTGCCAAAACACTCACCCAATACTCAATAAATTGAATAAATTCTTTCAAAACATTGCTCATTAAGCTTCTTTTCAAAGAAAACTTCAAACGTTCCATGTAAACTGAATTGTTCTGTAGCCGAAAATACAAACATTTCTTGAAAATGCTGTTGGAAATGAAATTCATTGATTTTTGAACATCGATAAGGTCTATCTCCTGCAAAAGTTAATACTTTTAAACTTTCATTTTAAAAATAATACATTCTACAAGGTTGACAAGCCTTTCAGCCTACGTCTAAATCTACTACACAGATCTAACTGTTCAATTGAAAATAGCCGTTTAGTAAGTCATTCAACTACTCTTCGTTATCTTCGTGGGATTTCCAACAAAACCAAGCAGTCCGTGATTAAAACTCACCATTTTAACAGCTTTACAGTTTTCATGCTAGAAACTTTCACCCCATTCTTGCGAGCATTTATAGCAAAATTCTTTCCCGCAAGCACATGTCATATGGTTGCATCCACCATCCCGTTGACAATATTCACGACAGCGTAGACATTGTCGCACTTCCAATGTTTTTACTTCACAGTCTCCTGCCGGAACCTCTAAAAAAGCAGTAATTTCTTACACCAGAGAAAAGTTGTTCCCAAAAATGTTTGAGACACTATATGACTCCAATATCATAAATAATAAATCAACAAGTAAGCAACGTACCACAACCGTTAATCTGAAATAGCCCTAAATAACTTCAACAAATGATTAAACAATTTCTGAAAGAAAATGTTA